TTATGTATTTTCTCAGTATTTGATCAATAATAGTATTGTTTGGTGTATGAGCGCTAATTACTGTGAAGCTATTTTTGTCATACCTGAAGTCAGCAGTAATGTTGATGTTTTTAGTGCTTTTATCCTCAGCTGTATATCTAAGTGCTCAGATGAGTCCGTAAAGAGCCATCGCTCCAGCAAAGACTTGAATGAGGATCATCCCAACAAAGAATCGAGGTTGCTGTGCCGTACTCCTTACTCCTACATCTCCCGCAATGCCAGTGGCATAACCGGCTGAGGTATTGGCATAGTATTTTGGTGGAGAAATGAGTCTACAAATTTCACATATACGTTTGCTGTATTAGCATCTAACGTGTTTTTTTTGTTTTGCTCTGCAATTTTTTGTTGTAATGATACTAGTTTGTAGAGGTTGATGTTAAGATTACCATTGATGACTGCTTCTGATGTGATTCCATTAAGTTCTGTATTCACTTGCAAAAAGTCTTTTAGTATGCTATAGCGTCTATTGTATGAGCCACAGACATTACTCATAATGCCATCTAGTGTGCTGTTTGTATCATTTGGTTGCTTTAACACGTTACTCATGAGATTTGCACAAAATGCATCAATATGGTCCTGTTTTTTTAGATGATATGCAATATTACTAATATCATTCCAAGCACCATGCAGAGGAAGATTTGGTACGTTTTGTATGAAAAATTCTATATTATTGTTACAAAATCCATCATATACTTTCCATTCACTCACACATGATAGATTATAATCTTTAATGATATCTAGTGTGGGTAAGTTGTGTAGTACAATGTTGTTTCAGTTTGTATTTGCTAGTGTGTTATTTGTATTTTGTGGAGTTGTTAGTATCCAATTCTCCAAAAGTCGTTTTAGTTGATCTATGCTGTAAGTGCTATCATTAAATGTGTTTATATCACCAGTAAAACTTAGATCTTTGATTGTGGCTTTCTGTGGCAATATTATACCAGCAAAGGAAATCAAATTATCACTTCCAATAATATTGTCGTTTACTGTGCTTAGCGTCCCACCTAGAATTTTAATATCGCCTCTTCAATCAAAAATTGGTCCTACATCATCAGATAATCAATGAGATATATATACTCCTCAATTATTGGTATAGTTTTCTATTTTGATGTTTTTAGGTGTGTGTGCGTGATTTCTTGCTTCGCTTGATCTGAGAGAATAGGCATATACTAATCATAAAATAAGTGGTATGAAAAAGAGACTATACTGAAAAATAGCTTTATAGAGTACTATATACCTTTTTATAACTTTTTGTGTTTGTGGATCTAAGAGTGCTTCATTTGTCATGAGCGCTGGTGCTTGTGCTAAACATATAGAAATGACCTTTTAGGGTACTATATAAGTATATATTTTTTTATATTGGGTACTAATTTTATGCTGTTTATCTTTTTATTTTGGTTTTTTTGTGTAGACTCTTTTTTATTTAGTGATATGGATGGCTATGAAAGAACGTATTCTGTTGGTGGTGGCATTTTTAGAAGGATTTACTACATTGGCTTTTCAAATGGTAGCCTTGAGAAAGGCAGTGCCATACGTGGGTAGTAGTGTTATTTTAACATCAGTAGTAATTGGTGTTATTTTGCTGGCGTTGAGTGGATGATATTATATATGAGGTGCTCTGACACGTCATAAAAATACAATCTCTTTGTTGGGTAGATTGCAGATGTATTTGCTCATTAGTGCAATATATTATTTGGCTATCGTTTATCCTAGTTTTTCACGAGTGTTAACACATGCGTTGCAACTGGTAGGTTTTGTGCCGACGCTCTTTCTTTTTTCTCTTGTTTTCTTTGCTATTCCTACATTTCTGGCATCGCACACAATGCCAATAATCACCCATATATCTCAGTGAACTAAGTGATTTGCTGCAGGAAAAATTCTGTTTATATCTACTATTGGTTCTTTTTTATGAAGTACAGTAACTACGCTGTTGTTGTTTCCTTATATTGGTATTTATCGAACAGGTATTTTTGCTAGTGCTATTTTGATTATATGTAGTCGACTTGTATATTATGTGGCTAAAGATGCACAACAGAAAAATAGTACATTGCAGTGAAAAGTATATGTCGTTTTTTTATTGGTATTTGGTTGATACGCTTTTTTACATAAGCCAGTTGTGCAAGGGTGGTATGAAGATACTGCATATCAAACAATCGCTGTTATAGAGTGAAAATTAAAATCTGCACCAACGAAAACTGCTCGCATTATGGAGTTGAATGGGTGAGAATCTAGTGGTATTTATGTTGATACAAAGCAATCGTTTTTCTCATATGTACGTAGTGTTATATCGCTCGCAGAAGAGGTAAAACCACGTAATATAGCTGTGATTTGAGCGGCATGATGTTCGCTTCCTCAAGAATTAGCTGCTTTATCATTTGTGGATCATATTGACGTGATAGATATAGACGCAAGAGTCTTTCCTATCGCACAAGATGTGTTTTTACAAGCACCATTAGATAAAAAAATTACACCAGTAGTGCAATCAGCCCGTGGTCGAATATACGACAATCAACAAATTCATAAAAAGTATGATATGATCATTGTAGATGTCTATAATGGTGTTTCATTGCCAGAGGAGGTTGTGACCAAAGAATTTTTTGCTTGACTCAAGTCTTTGAGTCCAACTATAGTCATGAATGTTATTGCAGATAAGAAAGTTGCTACGCCGTTTTCACGCGCATTTACGCATACAGTACAGAGTGTGTTTGATAATGTGTATATACATGATGCGTCTAATACGGCTCCTGCTGTTCCTATTGGGAATATTGTTTTTTCAACTATTAGATGATCTGGGTTTCAACAGCTTCCTGCTGTTGTAGATTGAACAGTTTTTACTGATGATAAAAGTGATGCAGATATGTTGAGAGTAGATATGATGTATGCAAAATAAATGTTGTTTTGACATATCTTGATCTAGACAAAGCAAAACTGATATTTTCTAGAACCTTAATTTTTGTCTTTTTTTTGTCATAACTTTGTCAGTTTTTTTCTCATATTTTTTTTGTATAGTGCGATCGTTGTGAAGTCGTATTCGTATTTGTAAACAATTAAAAAACCTTTTTTATGAAAAAATTAGTATTAGTGATGCTATGTATAATGAGCATAGCAATTGGATGTAAAAAGTCTTATCGTGTTCCTGATAAGCAAGATGATCAAGTGTGGACAGAGGATTTGGTAGGTGGTGTATTGCGTGATACGCAAAGTTATGCAGAAGATGACGTATATATGAGTGTCTTGGGTGGTAATGCATCTAGTAGCACCCCTATACCAGGTACTTGGTGGATTAAAACAAAGTATTTGAATCAATATCAACATTATTGTCAATTAAATGCCTCTCCACAATATCCAGGAGGTGTGCTTTGTGGTCCTACAAGTTATATGTTGGGTGTGCATATGATTGCTGCGTCAAAACAATTAGAATATGCATCAAATAAGAGTCGATTAGGTATTATCCACGGTCGATTATTGCAGAATAGTCGCTTTGATGATGATCAAGGGATGTATATTAGTGATGTAGACTGGTATGCAAAACGATATGATGCGAGTTATGTATTTACTAGTTATAAAAGAACTAGTGATAGGACGCTTATGAAAGAGTTTATTGAGTATAATATCAAAACAGGATTTCCGGTAGTAGTAACAGTTCAGGTGTATGGGAAAAAACGCAGTTCATGGGTATATGATGGTGAGTTATATGGTCAAGTATGTGTGAGTAACTATATTAGCAAAGACGGACCAATAGGGCATTTTATACTCCTTGTGGGAATTAAGATTAATGCTGATGGTACTGGCACTGTATGGTATAAAGATCCATTATCCCCAGATGGGAATACTCAATCTGTGAGTTATACAAGACTTCTGGACGCTATGAAATACAATGGTAATACCTCGTATTATGATGCTATCTCAATCTTTGAATAAGTGTAAAAAATAATTTTACGAATACCTTCACAACAACTCCTTCAGTTTTCTGGTGGAGTTTTCTATAGTTTATAAAATGTTTTTGCGTTGTGTGCTAAGGTCATGGTTAGATCTGAGATGGATATATTGCGTAGTTGTGCAACAAAATCATATACGAAACTGAGGTTTGCAGGTGTGTTGATGCTACCTCTTAAGTGTTGTGGGGCAAGATATGGTGCGTCAGTTTCTAGCAATATACGATCTAAGGGAGTTATCAAACATGCATCACGTAGGGGTTGTGCTTTTGGGTATGATATGTTGCCATCAAAACCTAAATAGAGATTGTCGAAATGCGATAGTAGGTATTCTGCCTCTTTTGCTTCGTAGCCAAAACAATGAAATACAGTAGGTATTTTATATGATGTAAAATCTGATAACACATCGATTGTTTCTTGAAATCCATCTCTGGAATGGATGATTAATGGTAATCAGGTGTCTACTGCCATCTGGCACTGACGTGCCAGCAGCTCCTGTTGGAGCTGTACAGATTTCATTGATCAAGGATAGTGCATGTCGATACCACATTCTCAGATAGCGCATATAATGTGGGGATATTGCTCAATAATATTTTTTATATTATCAATCTCATTATCGATATTTTGTGATGTGATTTCATCAAAACAAGCTTCACTAGGATGAATACCTGCTGTAGCTTTAATGGTGATGTGTGGGTGTATTTCTGTAGCCTTTTGCGCAATATTAATAGCACGCATAGCTCGTTCAGCATTGACAGCCACATTGATAAGTCAGGTTCATCATGCGTTTATAAAGTCCTGTAGGTGGTTTTGCCATTGTGGGAAAAGCTTATCGTCGTTGAGGTGGGTATGAGTATCAAACATAATGAGCATAAACAGTAAATTCGTGTATGTAGTTTATGTTTTTTCTTTTATATAATCAATTGTTTTTACTCGGGGGTTAAATAAAATAGATTTTGTTTATTGGTAATTATAGAAATTATGGCTATAGCGATTATTGCGTTTATTATATTGTTGTTGGTTTTAGTTGTATTGCATGAATTTGGGCATTTCATTTTGGCGAGAAAAGCTGGTGTGACTGTGCATGAGTTTTCTGTAGGTATGGGGCCAAAGTTGTGGTCGTTTGGTAAGGATAAACATTGAACGGAATTTGTGTTTCGTCTTTTGCCGTTGTGATGATATATTAGAATTAAATGAGAATCGCCATCAGAAGATGGTGCTTTGACGCAAAAAGATAGTTTTTTACGTGCAAAATTTTGGTGGAAAGTGGCTGTCTTGTTGGGAGGAATAGGGATGAATATTCTTACTGCATGGGTTGTGTTTACGCTAGGATTTTGGCACTGAGTTAAGCCTATTCAAGTGCTTCCAGATAATATGATGATTTGACAATCACAAAGTTATCTTATGCCTTCATATAGTTATCTAGAGTCACAAGGATTTGTGTCTGGGAGTATGAAGCTTGCGCCGGCTACCATTATAAGTGTAGAACAAAGCTCGCTTGCAGAACAATTATGATTGATGTCGTGAGATACACTTTTCTCACTCAATGGTGAAGCAATTACAAATATGAATATTCAAGGAGCATTGCAGAAAAGTATAGGTAAAGATATTGTTATTTCATATGTGCGTAATGGTTTGACGGGGGAAGTGAAATCAGTGTGTCCAGCTGATTCATGCGTGTTATGAGTAGGATTGGCTACGACTGCATGAATGGATATCAAAACCATAAAGTTTGGATTTTTGGGTGCAATGAAAGCAGCAGCTCATGAGGTAAAGGAACAAACGAGACTGACTATTACTGGACTAGGAAATCTGATTACGCAGTCAACAAAAAGTGGTGGATGAAAAACAGTTAATAAGTTGTCTGGTCCTATTGGTGCAGCAAAAATTGGTGAATATGTGTTGGCATCAGGAGGATGGCGACAATTTGTGATGTTTGGTGGGTTGATTTCTATGGCTTTAGCAATTTTTAATTTATTGCCTATTCCTGCATTGGATGGAGGAAGATTGCTAGGAGTTATTATACAAACTGTGTTTCGCTTGCCGTTGAAAAAATATTTTGAGATTGAATGATGGATTAATACGGTGTTTTTTCTGTGATTATTAATATTGTGATTTTATATTATGGCGCATGATCTTGTGAAGGCATGGTGAGTGCGTATTCCAGGAATTGGATAGGAAGTAAGATTGATTTTTAGATTATAGGGAGTGTGAAATACCAAAAGGTGTGAGCCTATAATCAGGATTATATGCTCTGGACTCTGGCTTTTTTGGATACTGCAATAGTGATTTCATATGAAGATTAAAGCATGCGACATGCAAAAGAGGCTTGTTTAGGGGTGTTTTTTAGATTATAGGAAAATTAAAATTTATAGGTAGTGAGCCTATAATCAGGCTCATGCTCTTCGCTTCGGCTCTTTTTGATACTGTGAGCAGTCAAAAGAGCCTCGTTCAGAGGCATTTTTTATTTTGCCGATATCATGTAGATGTTCTTGCTTTGGGTTGCATCACAAATGATGGGTTACTATATGACTCACTATGTAGTTGTATGATATCAACCTGTTGATATGCTGGTGAGTGTGAGTGCTTCAAGTGGTGATATTTTGCAGAATGTGTATGATTTTGATACTGATGCGTCAGTATATAAATACGTGAGTCGTACAGTGGGATTGAAAAACACACAATATATACCACCGGATTTAGTATCACTGGAGAAGATACAGTGGGTGGAAGTTCGCAACAATGAGGGGAAACTCAGGAGCGAGGCGGCGTCTGCTTTGGCAGACGTAGCGCAGGCATTTTATAAGACGTTTGGTAAGTCGCTGGTGGTCGTGAGTAGTTATAGAGGGTATGAGTATCAGAAAAAGCTTGTGGATGGATATATATCGACCATGGGGACTGGTAGAGCATATGCTTTGTCTGCGATCCCATGACATAGTGAGCACCAATTGGGCTTGGCTATTGATATATTTAATGCAACGACTGATAAAGAATTTCAGCAGGGGTATCATACATATTTTGATTGGATGCACCAACATGTGCATGAATATTGATGGACTCAGTCGTATCAAAAGGGTGCAAAAATTGATGGTTATGTAAAAGAGCCATGGCATTGGAGATATGTCTGAATCCCGTTGGCTACTTATTTGTGGGAGCATAATCTTACGTTTGGGGAGTATGTGCATGCGACTAAAAATGGAGAAGCTAGATAGGAAAAATGTTTGTATTTGTCTTATAATCTATTATAAGTAAAGAGTTCTTTATTTGTTTCTTATCACTCAATATATGAAATATGTTATAATGATCTGTACTTTTTTTGTTGTACTTTTTGGTAATTGTCTCGTAGGTAATAAAACATATGCTGCTACAATCACTGTGCCAACTGATTATGGTACTATTCAACAAGCTATTAATAATGCGAGTACCGGTGATACTATTGTGATACTACCTGGTATTTATACAGGTAATATTGTGATTAATGGATTGTCTGGTATTACATTAGTATGATCTGGTAGCCCATTGCCTGAAATTACACCAAATGATAATACAAATCGCGGTATAGATATTGATAATTCATACTATATTACATTGCAGAATATGGTCTTAAGTGATCAAAGAATGTCTGGTATTTGATGTACACCTTATTCGTCATTTTTTGTAAAAATTTCTAATACGCATTATATTACGCTTGCAGATTTAACTTTGTTGTGATGAGGAAGTAGTACATGTCTTTCTGCTTGATTAGATTTTAATGGAACTCAAGATGTTGTTGTGAGAAATATACATATTGAGAACTTTTATCGTAATTGAATTACTCTATCACCCACATTTCCAGGTGCTACATATGTACCTAAGAATTATCTTTTTGAAAATATTACTCTTATAAATAATGCTTTTATACCAGATTGGGGACAATTTGTCTTCTATATGTATGAAAATGCCCTGAATACAGGTGCAAATATTACTAATATTAAATTTTCTGGAAACAATACTATAGAGAGTGGATTTAATGGTATGAAGTTTGATGGTACAATCCATAATAGTATTATTAATGTTACCCCATATTATGTAGCAGGTGATGGCTCTGTATGACCTACTGGTTATCCTATGATAGATTTACGTACATTTACTTTTAAAAATATACAAGGATATTTTATTCAAAATTTAGGTTATCAGACTTTTGTAGATGCTATGCTAACTAAATTTTATGATCTATCAACAACATTGTTAGATCACTATACGCAAAAAGATCAAATAGAAAAATTATTATCACATGATTGTTATGATGCAACCACATGAGATAATACTTTTTATCATGGTGCATGTAATGATGAGTTAGTTAATATGCCAGTTGTTTGTGATCAATTATCTCCTTTTTTTGATCTTGTGTCATGTAATATATGGTTTTCACAATATGTATCACCAAATTTTTTATGAAAATCTTTAGATACAACAGATAGTCTTGGTAGAATTAATGTTGGAAGTATAAAATATACTACAATTTGTGGGGATTGAGTTGTAGAATGACCTGAAGTGTGTGATGATTCTAATACAATTGGTGGGGATTGATGTTCTGCTGTATGTTTACCAGAAAATCCTACTTGTACGTTATCTTTGTCTACTGGAATTTGATATAGTCCGCTTACAATTACGACGCTTGTTTCACTTTCTACTGGTTCACAACAACTTAATTTTTCTCGATGAGATGCTTCATCTTTAGTTACAACATGATTTGGTACTACTTACACACATACGTATATAAATACTGGTATGTTTGTGCCTACATTGACAGTAATGAATATGTATAATACTTGATTGCAAAATATATGTACAGGTTTAGTGCAGGTTTTATCTACCGTGACTACAGGTACAGAAATTACATCTTGATGAGTTACATCATCATATGGTTGATGAGGATGAGGTAGTGTATCATTGCCTTCATCTTCATCTCAGTCTCAGTCTATTATTCCACAAGTTCCATGAGAAAATATATGTGTGGATCCTAAACCTACATGTAAATATGAAGATTGAACTTTTAATTATGTATTTAGAGATTTAACAGGTAGTATTTATTCTCATGCTGTTGATACTTTAGTGCAATATTGTATTGTACATGGTATGGGGGATAGTTGAGAAAAGAATAAAAAATCTTGATTATTCCGTCCTGAAAATTCTGTTACCTGGTGAGAAGCATTAAAGATGATTACAAGATCATTGTGATATAACGGTATTTACCACCAAAGCACAATACATTGGGCTGAACAATACTTTAATATTGCAGAAAAAAATGGTGGATTTGTATGATTGTCTGATGTGACGATTAATAACATGGACGTAGCAATATCAAAAAAGGACTTTTTGCTTTTGATAACTAATCTTTTACAACAAGAGAGCAATATAAGTGATCGTTTTTCTGAAATGAATGTGGCTATCACAAGATGAGATGCTGCTATTATTGTGGAAAAATTATTACAATATAAGTATTCTCAATGTTTTCATAAACAAAATGCTTGTGCGTATCATGATGGAAAGTTTAATTATTTGTTTATAGATACTCTGCATACTCCATATTATACAGCTATACATAAACTAAGTAATGCTTGTATTATTCATGGTATGGAAGATAGTTGACAAAAATTCTTGCTTTCGTTTTTTGCACCTGAAAGATCAATTACAAGATGAGAGGCATTAAAAATTATAGCAAGAGTCTTTAATATTTGGCAGGGGAATCATTTAGAAGATGCCACAGTAACATTAGATTCATATGCTAAAGCTCTTTATAATGGATGATATAAGACTGAGTTAACACAATATAGATGAGATGATTTATATAAATATGTATCACTGCAAGAAGTTTATGATTTATTAGCTAAAATTACTAAAAAAACTATTAATTGGCCTTGAGAAAAAAACTTATGATCTACTATTACTAGATGATTCTTTGCTGAACAAATGAGTCAATACTTGCCATAATGTTTTGGAAAACATATGCCCCTGATTGATTAATCTTAAATGTATGAGCATGTTAGAGAGTGGTAGTTGGAGGGACTAAGGCTTTGAGTTGCACTTTTTCTGGTGAATTATAACTCTCACTCCCATTCTTTATAAAATTCTTCTAGATAATTTTCCATATAATTATGTCTATGCTCTGCCATGTGTTTTCATGTTTTTGTATTCATTCTACTTTTAAGTAATAATAATTTTTCATAAAAATGGTTCAATGTGGGGGCATTGCTATTCTTATATTCTTCTTTTGTCATATTTAGATTTGGTTTTATTTCAGGGTTATATATTTCTCTTCATTTATGTCATCAATAATTAAATGTTCTTGCAATTCCTATTGCACCCATTGCATCTAATCTATCTGCATCTTGTACTACATCAAGTTCTGGTGACGTAAAACTTTGACTATGTTGACCACCTTTGAAAGAAATATTTGAAATTATATTTTCAATATGCACAATAATATCTTCTTGCATATGTAAGGACATCAAGAACTCTCTTGCTTTGCGAGGACCTATTTCTTCATCTCCATTATGAAACTTAGAATCTGCTATATCATGAAGCAAGGCTCCAAGTTCAACGATCAGTAAATCAACATTTTCTGTTTTTGCAATATGTTTAGCTGTTTTCCAAACACGATAAATATGCCACCAGTCATGACCTCCTTCTGCATTTTTCATACTTTCTTTTACAAAATCTACCGTTTTTTGAATTATTGTTGCTTGTTCCATGCAATAAAAATTATGTGATAAAATATGAAATGCAATTTGCGAAACAAAGGTGATTCCATCTCACTATACTTTATAAGAATGAAATAAAAAAACCACCCTATCAAGGGTGATTTTTAGATATGCGTTTTAGGATGTGAGTTGATTATCCGTGATGATGCATAGAGTGATCGTCTGTTTTGCAAGAACCACCACAACATCCACCTTTTTGATTGTCTTTATCACAATTTCCTTTGTTGCATTTGCAGATTGCAAACATTCATGGTCCAGCTACAAATAATACTAATCATAGAGCTGCGATAATCATGTCCATTTCAATCATTGGGAATGCCCATTTTTTTGCTGTCATAGCAAAGAACATAATAATCCATAGGATTACTACTGCAAATCTTGTCCAAAGACCTACGAGCAATAATAGAGCGATTGCTAATTCTCCTGCTACTGCAAGATAGAACCATGTTGTAGTTGAAAGAAATGTTAATCATAACATTGCTGGAGCTCCACCTACAAATCACATCATTGCTGTACCAGCCATAATTTTAGTGATACCGTGAAATGCAAAGATTGCTACAAGCACAATACGAAGAATAAGTAAGCCACTATCATGGCAGTATCCACATCATTTTTTCATGACGTTTTATAATAAGGAAATAAACACGCTATGAGAGTAATGGGATGCTCGTGAGTTGCAAGAGAAAAAAATCCAAGCATTATGCTTGGATTTTAGATTATGTATGATGTAAGGAATAGTTTTGGATATAAGGTGATTTAGTCGCTTTCTATTTCTGGCAATGCTTCAATAGTAGCAAGTGCATCATCTGCAAGTACTTTTTTCCCAGATCTCATATCTTTGATGATTTTTTGAATATCAGTGTGGATTGATTTCATGAGTTTGTCATCTGCATTGAGCACCTCAAGGAGTTTTTCTTTTCCTTGTACTTTGTCTTTTTTCCCAGGTACTGTATAGAATGCTCCTGACTTACTAATTAATCCAAGGATCGTTCATGCTTCAATTGCATCCAGACCTTTATCTACACCTAATTTGAATTTCACTGGGATTTCTGCTGTTTTGAATGGTGCAGAGATTTTGTTTTTTACAATTTTAACTTTAGTCATATATCCAATAAGTTCTTTGTTTTCTTCGATTTTTTCACCACGTCTAATTTCGAGTCTTTGTGATGCGAAGAACTTGAGGGCATTTCCTCCTGATGTTGTTTCAGGATTTCCAAACATAACACCAATCTTCATACGAATTTGATTGATGAAGATCACAGTTGTTCCTGTTTTTGCAAGAATTGATGTGAGTTTTCTAAGACCTTGTGACATCATACGAGCTTGTAGTCCCATATGTGAATCACCCATGTCTCCTTCAACTTCTGCTTTTGGTACTAGTGCTGCAACTGAATCGATTACGATCAATTTGATTGCGCCAGTTTTTGCAAGTTCTTCAGCAATTTGTAGAGCTTGTTCTCCGTAGTCTGGTTGTGAAAGAAGGAGGTTATCAATATCTACGCCAAGTTGACGAGCATAATGAGGATCAAGAGCATGTTCTGCATCAATGAATGCTGCAGTTTCACCTCTTTTTTGGATTTGTGCAATTGCGTGGAGTGCTATTGTCGTTTTCCCTGATGATTCTGGACCATATATTTCAACTACACGTCCTTCTGGATACCCGCCACCAAGAATAATGTCGAGGATATATGAGCCAGAATGAAATGTATTTACCATACCAACGTTTGAATTATCACCCATACGCATAATTGCTCATTTTCCGAATTGCTTTTCAATGTTTTTAAGCGCTTCACTAAGCACTGTTTGTTTTGCATCTGCTGCCATAATATTTTATAAGTGGTAAAGACGTACCACATATTACAAAAATAAAATAAAATTGCAAAGACAAAATAAAGAAAAATCTATGACAAAAAAATGTGGCTCTCTGAGCCACAAATCTTGATGCGTGTCTATATATTATGGAAAAATTATTTCGTTGTATCCATACCAGCCCATAAATTATTGCTTCATAATTCACTTCTTCATGCATGCTTGAGTTGTAGGAAAAGTTGCATCTTGTATGCACCCAACATAGTTAGCAAATAATCCACGAGGAAACTTGCTCTTGGTGCTGTTTTCCCAAAAAGTGTAATTTCTTTTTGCATATCTTCATCTTCTAGTCACTTAATCATTTTACTTACATGATCGTATTCTGTATCAAGAAGATGATCCCATTCTTTGTGGTCAAATGTTTTTGTAAGAGCATCCATATCGTTGAAAATGCTAGGTTCCCAGTGTCCTATTACGATTAATTGTACTTGCTTCTCGATAGAAAAAGCAAGATATGCCATTAATTCATGAATAGTTCTTTGTTTTTCACTAAATTTATGGTCAAGATATTGAGCTTCAACTTTGTTCCCAAGATGTTTAAGAATATGGAACTCACGGTGCATAGCACTAATAAGATGCTCTTTTGTGTACATTGAATAACAATAGTGATAAATGATTATAGCTAGTATACTTATTTGCTTTATTGTTGCTAATGGTTTTAGAGAAAAGAAGAAGATCATTGCCGGTGTTGTATCAAAACATTACCTGACTTTTTTTGCCTTATTTATTGACAAAATCGAAAAAATGATTACAATTAAAACATTAGATTTTATTGTTTATGCTACAGACCATGGCAAAAGGATATAAATTCTCGCCCAAAACACAGTGAGAGATGCAAAAAGCGAAAGAAACTATAAAAAATGTTAAAGAAATGCAGTGAGTAGATGCTGCAAAGGCAATATTTGAAGCAATAAAAAATAGTGACTGGTGAAAGTCAGTCAGGCAAGAAAACAAAGAGTTGTGAGAACAAATGCAAAAGGATAGAAATTCAGTTGCGTGATTTGTAGCAGAAAAAGAGAAGTTTGATACTAAAGAACAAGAATTGATAATGGAACTTGAAGGAGTAAAAAAAGCAAGAGAAGTATTCCTAGAAAACCACTCTCCTAGAATACAAAAATTAACAGCAAAACTCTGACTTACTGAATGAGTAGAAGAGTTACAAGAAGCGTTGAAGCAGTATATCCTCCAAAGAAGTGCTGCTATAGCACATGAAGTGAGAGAACATAATCAGTTTGTAGACCATGAGGTTGATAGCATTGAAGATGCTTTCCCGAATAATGATAATAAAAAAGCCAAAGAGCGTACAGAGGTAAACTTTGTAGGGGAACCAGTAGAAAAAAAGATGGAGAAAGGAGAAACATTACTTGTACAACCTATGACACTAGACGGCGTAGAGTATACGGCACTCAAAATCCCAGAATCTATCAAAGAAATGAAGATAGCAGACCTAGCATCACAATTTATGGAACAAGAGGATGAAGAGGATGAAGAGGATGATCGATGGTTTCCACAGATGGCTATGTGGCTAACAGTATGGGATGCATTAGATAGTGACTGGCTCGTATTATCAAAGCATAATAAAAAAACAGATGATGGTAAAACAAGAATAAACATCCAAGCATATAATAAATCAGCAGATACTGATGTGCTCAGAGAGTGTTTGATGGAAGGAACAAAGCCTATGGGTATAGTGCAAACACTTGTCTTGAGAGAAATTATCAAGCAGTGACTATGAGATAAGTATGTAAATTTTGAATGATACAAAGCTGATAGTGGTCAAGACTGATATCAGAAAGTAAGAGAGATGATTAACGAGATAGATGCATATACATGATTATCTTTTGGAGATGAGAAGAATGGTGACTATACAAAAGATGGTTATATTATCCGTAATCGATGACTATATCGTGATAAATATAACAACCTTCATTCGTTCATCCGTGGCGACCGCGATGACCGTGGTTGGGCGGGCGGTGTTACTTCCCTCCGCTTGCCTTGCGGTGTCGCCCGTTCGGATGGCCACATCGGCTTTCGCTCGTGATTGTAATTCTGTTCAAGTGCTGGTCACTTGATGACGAAGCCCACGAAGAGGGCGAGTGTATACTATCAACTTGTATAGCAAAAAACCTCTCACTATGTCCATCTCGGACAAGAGAGGTTTTTCTTTTTGTCGAAAAAATCACTAGCATTATGTATTTTCCCTGAATTTTAGACCTTTATGACATTATTTCTCAACCAAAAATCCAGATTCCCTGCTGAAAAAACGCAAACTACTTCGTCTTGAGTAGATGATTTGAGACGAGTGGTGATTGCAGAAGATTCTTTTGTATATAGGCCATTACAAGCTTGCGCAAAGAGCGATCATAGTTCATCTATAGAATCAACACCATGATCCGCACCAGGAATAGGATAACTATGTAATAACTCTTCTAAATTTTCTCTTGCTGCATAGATATCGTATATTGTGACCTCATCAAATTGTTGCATCGTAGATGCAAATTCTTTTCGGAACTGCAGTACACGACGTGCTTGGTGTGGCTGAAAAATCGCAACTAATTTTTTCTCAGGATATTTTGCTCTCATTGCTTGGTAGACAGCGTTGATTTCTGTAGGGTGGTGACCATAATCTGTGTACAACAGCGATCATGATGGTAGTTGTGTAAGGAGCTCCATACGACGTCGTAATCATTTGAATCATGCCATAGTAGCTCTAATGTGATTATCCATATCTACACCTGCTATATTTGCTCAATCTTCGCTGATAATTTTTGCTAATAGTGCCAAAATAAGCGATGCGTTTTTTTGATTGTGATCACCGAAAATATAGGGGAGGTTGATGGTCTGTTTTTCGATACACTGAAGTTGCGGGCATTGTGATGAGAGATATGCTATGCCAGCTTCACCAGTAATCGCAAAGACATTTTGTTTTACTTTGTGAATAAACTGCACATATGTTTGTAGGTATACTTCTTCATTTTCATAAATATCACTATGGTCTAATTCAGCATTCAGAATAATCGCATGGTCTACATCCAGGTAGAGAAAGTGCCTGTTGAACTCATCAGCTTCAATAAGAAAACGATATTTTTTACGAAGCGACTCATCCCATGTGGTTGATTTACCTCCAAGTATATACGTAAAAATTGCCTGTAAGTCATCTTTGATGGTTTCATTTGCCCAATAGTTTTTTTGATCTAATTGTGGTACAAGAGCCCCTAAAATACCAAGTCCAAAACCACCATCTACAATTTTCATTGTGTATGTCATAAGGGCAGTTGTCGTGGATTTACCATGAGTTCACGCAATTGCAATTGTCTCAAAATATTTTGATATTTCTCCAAGAAACTGGAAATAACTATATGGTAGCTGAGCGCCTTTTACTCACGTTGCGTGGATTTCCTTTGCCATCAGCACCTCTGGTGCTGTCGGACATGCGTCCGAATATATCACAATATCACCGGCTTGCACCTTGTAATTTCCATGTCAAAGTACTATCTGTACACCTGCTTTTTTGAGTTCTTGTACAATTTGTCATTCGTTGTTATCTATACCAACAATGTTTTTGTATCATAGATCTGTAAGAAGAAATCATAATGATGAAATACCTGTACCTCATGCTCATACGAGAACTATATTCATAATAGTAGATATTAAGATGTAGAATACCTATATATACTTTTTTAGTAGATGAAAATAAGAGAAAATTAGTGTGTAAAAAGAAAGGTGAAAGCTGGTTTTTTTATTGATATTTGTCTTGATATATAGCACAATATATATAATATTTTTTTACACAAGCGATGAAAAGCAATAAGCTCAACGGGTACTTGTGATTATATAACAATAAAAAAAGTTTTTTATGAAAAAACAGTTCATTTCAGCGAAGTAAAAAAGGCGATTAAAGTAGGTTAAAGATTAAATTGTTGCGTGTATTTATGCGACTTTCAACAGTAGAGATGCTTTTTGTCTCTACTGTTTTTTTAAATAATATTTTTATGCTCTAACTCCCTTTCTCTATTTTTTGTCTCATTGTATCAGCAGTTTTTTGTATGTTTGTGAGAGAATCATTTACATATGTTCGGAAACGAATATTCTGGTCCAAAAAGTTCTTGATACTATTTGCAACTTCTGCGTTTTGTGACTTAGCAATAGCATCTGAAATATTTTGTGTAAGTTGCAGTCTGGCTTGAGCCTCTCAAAGCGCCTTTGATACATCGATATTGGCTTTTGCTGTTTCAAAACTACTACTATCATTTTCTGTACCACCTTGCACATATGGATTTCAAAATGCAATATATTTGTTTTTCTCGACACCCAAATCAATGCTATTATAAGATCATTTTGCTTGATTATCTGCTTGCGTTTGAGCTTCTGCATCACTCATTTTACGAGGCTTACTACTTAACACAGGTTTAAATCCTATGTTAATATCAAAAGAGAAAACCTTGTTGATTTTGATTTTTGAAAGTGTTGTATCAAGAAACTCTTTGGTCTTTGTGCTTTTTGTCATCTCTCCTGAGTTTCTAAGCGCAGCTAGCACATTGTTGATTTCACTTACAATATCTTGTACGCTTTGTACTTTTTTACTACTTACAATATCTTTGTAGGTTGTTGGTACAGTACAGACACTAATACCAAATATTCCATCTTTTGTAGATGCACTACCACACATACATTTTGCAACACACATCGCTTTATCTACAGCACCCAATGGATCACATTTTTGTACACACGCTTGAATTTTCGCTGATTGAGCATCATATTCACTTGGTGCTTCCCAATTAGTATCATTAATAGGGTCGTCTGCAGATGTGACTATTGGCGAATAATATGGTGTATTACTGTTGAAAACAGGAGGTGTATTAGGATCAACAATTCAAGTATTTGTGGATGATGATGTTGAGCTGGTATTACTATTTGTTGCATTGCTTGCAACTTGTCCAATGTTTCAACTATTGCTATTGTTTGTAGGAGTGAGACACGCAAAATTTTCTACAGTACTACCAGTGTCTGCAATGATTGGTTTTGTGTTTGTGGTGCTTTGCAACGTACTTTGAGCGCTTGATGTTTGCGTACCAAATCAGTTTGTGCTATTGTTGCTCGCATTTCATCATTGTACTTGCGTTTGCGTTGCACTTACTCAATTACCGTTCTTAAACGTGATCGCATTTGGCAAACTACTTGTAGATCCTTGTGATCAAAATGGTATAGCTTGTAAACCAGCGATGTTATTGTTTGGAAAAGTATAGAAGAGCATTTGGTCTGTTTCTTCATTTCTTGTAAACAAGACATCTCAGATATGTTGTATATCTACAAGCAGATCATATGGACTATCATCCAATGTCCCATTGTAATAAATATCATTTCAAATATTTGTCGCTGATAGTGATACAAGAGATGATACCATAGATGATTTATGTGAATATGCATTTGCTGCATAGTTTTTACACGTTGCAAATGCTGTATCAGTCAGATAGTTGTTGTATTTTGGTGCTCAGTTTGTGACGTCATTTTGTGTGTTTTTCTCGAGGACCTCATTGAGACCTGCAGCACCTTTACTGAGACATTTCACCATAGACACACATGCGCCAGCAAACGAACTTTGATCGCTTAGAGTCCCGTTTTCACCTGCACTTGCAAGCGCAGCTTGCAGTTCTGTACGTATATTGTCTATCGATCATAAAATTGCTCACATATCTGAGGTGCTGAGCTGACAGTTGTAGTTTACATTAAAATCTTGTGTGATACCTATAATTGATTGTGTCGCAGTTGCAGTAAATTCTTTTTGTGCAAACGCATATGCATTAGCATAAATATTCCCCACACGCAAAGGTTCATTGAGCTTATCAATTGTTTGCTTCGCTTTGAGGTTTTCAGTAGCACGTTGTAAAATAGTATCAAGTCATGCGAAAACTGGCATTGTAGCAAACATGCTGATGGTCATTAGTATACCTATGCTAAACAGTTTTTTATGCATGACTATTGGTGAATAAATATGTACGTTGCGTGGTATGTGGTATAGACTGCTACGCAGACACGGCGATTATCGCCGTGTGTTGGTTATCCTTTTGCTTGTACATTTCTGAGTTTATAATAGAGTTGATGGATTGGTGTATATATTTTTATTAATGATTTTCTGATGTTGAGTACGTCTTCGTAATACGCCAATAACCCTATATGTAATGGAAATGTGGCACGGAAGTTATCAACTGTTTTTTCCATCAAAGTAAGTGCATTTTGACTGACAATAATCTCTCTTTGTAAACGTTGTATTTCTGGAGATGTGATGTTGGTGGAGCTGCTTGATTGTGTTTTTGTGAGGTCTAATGGTGCATAAGTAGATCGATGGAGAGTGAGTTCTTGGGATACTCGCGCAATCAGTAATTTGTAGTAGAGAAGTTCGTTGTATCGTAGATTATATTGATTGGCTCATTGTTCATTTGGATTGTTGCTGTTGTATGCACAATTGAATAGATCAGGGAGTTGTTGTCATTCTCAGTTTGAGGTGGTTTGAGGTGTACATCCATTTGCTTTTTTTGATATTTCAGCAAGACGTTGGGGATCGAGTGTGAGAATGTTTTGTTGTTGTTTTTGGAGATCTTCGATTAGTGAGGTGAGTTGTGCATATGTTCTCGGATGTGAACATAGTGCTTCTTTTTCATCTGACGCACTTTTGTTGCCTAGGTACATACTGTTTGGGTCATCTTTTTTGCCACCACATATGCTTCATACATCACCAAAGTACTTGAGAGAAAATGCTTGTATTATATTTCATATTTCACCATCTTTATCTGTGAGTATCCATCCAGCAAGTCACAGAGTGCTATGATCATTCATAACCATTGTGAAAAGTTTTGGTAATAAGACGGATAGGTCGCATGATTTCATATCACTATCTGGGTCACAAGATGCTGGTATACCATAATCAGATCGTTTTTTTTCAGATAGCAACTTTGTATTAAAAAAGAATGTTTTGTCAGCAAGAAAAGGTTTACATAATACCCCTAAGAATAAAGAAAATTTTGGTGAAAAATAACGAGTGCCTGCATTTGTATCCAAGAAACCATTTTGATTTTCGTTTGCTGCATTACAAAATCATACGATAAGTCCTTTTTTGTCGTCTGTGGTTGCACGCAAGCTGTTGAATATATTTGCAGCTCATTGTGCTGTTGATTGGGGCACAGGAGCATCTGCAGATGCATTTTTGTGCACTATAAAAGCTGTAATGGTACCAAGACCAAGCATGCTAAGCATTGTGATTACAACTGTTTTATAGTGTTTTTTAATCATGGTTGTATGGAGATAAAATGAGTATAATACTATTTATTGTGTATATCGACATGTTCATCAAGCATTGCTACATTGTTTATCACATGCTTTTCATAGGTTGTTTACAATTGATTCTGGTTTTGTGCTATCAATCTTATATTGAGCTGATATAAGTTCTTGTGTCATAAGTGGGAAGAGTTTTGTAATGGGTGATACATCTGCAAAGATTGATGCATCTCGTTGACTTGCTGCGATTGTTGTAGTATCTACTGCTACGGCAATAAATGATGCTTGATTGTCTTGTGTTTCTACTTTGGTTGCTATGTCTCATACGATAAATGGCTCTGGCGTGGGTTCTGGTGTAGCAGATAGTCATGCAATAGGAGGCGAGGTCATAATGTCATCTCTGACTGTTTTATATGCATCCCAGAATCATTGTACAAGTGGAACTCATGTATTGTTGCGTACGCCTTGTCGTCCATTTTGTGATCTGAGAAGTTCATTTTGTCTTTGTTTTAATGCATCTTTTGCATCAGCATTTTTTGATCGGAATCATGATAATCTCTTCATAGCATTTTGTATGGTGGTTTTAGCATCCTTTGTTCTATTTGTCGTATCTTTTCGTATAGCATCCATATTTTTTTTTCATTGTTTAGCACCTGGTATACATGCTGCAAATCACTTAAATCCTTTTGCACAACTGTAATATCATCATTGTCATAGTGCAGTTTGCATTGCAGAAGAAAAGTTTACCTGTCCTCAGATAAAATTATTATTCATGGCCTTTGTCCCTGCAGTGGCTGATATAGCGCTTTTGATTGCTTGATTCATACGTCGTAATCCACCAAGTAACTCAATTGGTTGGAGCGTAGAATTACTAATCATTGCAGTAAATCATGCATCACCTATATCATTGATTACAGGACTATCTCATTTGCTATATTTTTGCATAATACTCACGACACGTTCTTTCCATCATGCTCTAAAACCTAGTCTTACAAACACTCACTTATTACCCATATCTGTAAGCGTATTTATTACTGATTGATCGAGCTTTTCAATTTTTTGCCAATCTCTCATGATTGATTCATTGTTGAGCATAGGTCATAGTTGTTTCCAGCTATCTAATATGACTCATTCCGTGGTAATGAGACTTGCTACATATCATGCACTTGCTATAGTTTGTGCTTTTGTATTTAGAT